AACCTTAGAAACTGGTATCAGGTAATAGCTCTCTAAGTGGTGTCTTAAGTTGGTGCTTGAGTGAGGTGGTAAGTCGTCGTAACCTTGGGGTAAGTTATTTGTGTGGAGTATGAGGAGGTTTGGGCAACCCCAGAGACTGTGGTTGAAGGATTGCAGGTGTCTTTGGTTGGTTGAGATTTGCATATTGGTCAGACAAGAGGTGTGTGTGTGTGTGTGTGTGTGTGTGTGTGTGTGTGTGTGTGTGTGTGTGTGTGTGTGTGTGTGTGTGTGTGTGTGTGTTGATAACGAGATCTGAGATTGCCGAGTTCCACGACAATTTAAATAGTGAGTTACTTAATGCACAAAGGCAGAACATACCATACAAAAACTCAGATCAGACAACAATGACCCTAAATGGATAAATAATTATTTAAAGAACATCATTGGCCAAAGGAAGGCTATAGGTAGAAGGATAAAGCGTGGCGAAATTTACCTCCGGGATTATTATAGGGTATTGGCGAGTAGGGTTAAAACCGAGATAAGGAAAGCCAAGAGGAATAATGAGGTAATGATAGCAAGGGAGGCGAAGACAAACCCCAAAGGATTCTACCAAATGTATCAAACTAAAACACGAGAAAAGATTGGACCAATACGGTCAGATACCGGCAAGCTCACTGATAACGACGGAGAAATGAGCAATAATCTGAATAAATATTTTTCAACAGTTTTCACCACCAAAAATTTAAACATGATACCCGAGGCACCGACTCTATTCAGAGATAGTGAAGAAAACAAATTAAGCGAGATAGTAGTAACGATGTTAGTAAGCAAATAGACAAACTAAAGCCTAAAAAGTCACCTGGTCCTGATGAGATATTTGCCAGAGTATTAAAGGAATGTAAGGAAGAGCTTAGTATGCCCTTAGCAAAGTTGTTTAACATGTCCTTAAAAACAGGTGTAGTACCAGAATCCTGGAGGATAGCGAATGTAATGCCGATTTTCAAGAAGGGGGATAGATCACTGTCCTCTAACTACCGCCCAATCAGTCTAACATCAATAGTAGGCAAATTACTGGAAACAATCATTTCAAACTCTACTCGAAATCACCTGGAGAAGCACCGATTGATCAATGATTCCCAGCATGGCTTCACAAGCGGACGTTCTTGTCTAACTAATCTATTAACATTCTTTTCATCAGTTTTCGAATCGGTGGACGAGGGGCACAATTATGATGTGGTATATCTCGACTTTAGCAAAGCCTTCGGCAGAGTCCCCCACGAAAGACTAATTAGAAAGGTAGAAGCACATGGCATCAAAGGTAACATCCTTAAATGGATTAGGGCGTGGTTACAGGACAGGAAACAGCGAGTGAGCATTAACAGCACTAAGTCCCATTGGAGCAACGTCACAAGTGGAGTTCCCCAAGGCTCAGTACTTGGACCATTATTATTTATTATATGCATAAACGACATAGGTATCGGCATAGACAGCAACATAAGTAAATTTGCTGATGACACTAAAATAGGACGTGTTATTAAATCTGACGAGGACTCCGCAAAACTACAGGAAGATCTAAAGAAATTTTTCGAATGGTCTGAAAAATGGCGGATGAAATTCAACGTGGACAAATGTAAAGTACTCAGTATAGGAGATGTAAACAGGGAAACCAGATACCAGATGAACAACGATGCCATAGAGAAATCCGACTGCGAGAGAGATTTAGGAGTAATGATAAGCAGGAACCTTAAGCCAAGTAAACAATGCGTTTTTGCTCGTAACAAGGCTAATAAAGTACTTGGGTTCATACAAAGGAGTGTTAGTTACAAGACTAGCGAGATCATCCTAAAACTGTATCTTGCTCTTGTGAGACCACACCTGGATTACGCAGTTCAGTTCTGGTCACCGTATTACAGAATGGATATAGAATCCTTGGAAAGAATTCAGAGGAGAATGACAAGACTAATCCCGGGCATTAGGAACCTTGAGTATAGAGACTGGCTAAAGCATCTTAATTTGCACTCCCTCGAGAGACGGAGAGCGAGGGGCGACCTGATACAGGTGTATAAGTGGAAGTCAGGGCTAAACAAAGGAGACATTACAAAGGTACTCAAACTATCCAACCAGGAGCGAACTCGTAACAATGGTTTTAAATTAGACAAATTTAGATTTAGGCGTGAAATAGGTAAACACTGGTTTCGAAACAGAGTAGTGGATGAATGGAACAAGTTACCAAATATCATCATTAACTCGAATATCCTGAATAACTTCAAACATAGGTTGGATGCTAATATGAGCAATAGGGGTTGGGTGTAAACGGGACTGCCCAGTATGGGCCAATAGGCCCGCTGCAGTTTCCTCCATTCTTATGTTCTTATGTTCTCTCTTGTACGTGGATATTAAAGAATTACCTACCTTGTCAGCCACGGTACAGGGGTTACCAGTCGACGTGTAGGTGAAGGGGTTATGTGAGAGGGTTCCCCAGTTGGTGTTTCACTGATTAATGACCTCATATACATAGTGTGTGTGTGTGTGTGTGTGTGTGTGTGTGTGTGTGTGTGTGTGTGTGTGTGTGTGTGTGTGTGTGAGAGAGAGAGAGAGAGATTATGATAAAAAGAAAAGGGCAGTCATCGCAGGGGTCTTTACAGTGTAGTACCTGAGCTCCTCACAGAAGATGGTGGTGGTAGTTGCATGGTGCTATTATACAGTACCGTTTAGTGTACAAATATTGTACATAAAATTTTTCATAATCTCATGGTTGTTGAAGTTAAAAGTCAGTGTTTTTGTATTGTGTTGATAGGTGAAGTCAGTTTTGTACTACAGTATGTTGATGGTTATACTGACACAGGGAGAAGTTGGCCTTCATCTCGCACCAACATCGGCTTCGTCATAGTTTAAGTAACAATAATATTTTGCTCCATTTGTGTGATTTTGTAATAATTGACAAACTATAGGAGTTGTGTTTGTTCTCCTTGTGTCAGTGACCTTACTAACCTGGGACGAGAACACGTTCATGTTTATTGTGAAAAGTGAAAGAGAATCAGCACTTTTCAGGCGAGATATGTGGGATCACCTGACGATTAGGTCCCCAGCTTATGTCACATTGTTAACCAACCTAAGGCTAATCTAACCTCACCAATCTTCCCGGGTAGCGTTATTGTGTTTAATCATCAGGCAATCCAATAAGTGTTTTAAATACCTATTACTGTAGAACACCTTACTTTGGTTTCACTTACACCCTACCCACTCAAACATACGTTATATTAACTACACTTTACACACACACACACAGAGTGAGGGCGTACTGAGTATTCGTTTGATGACGCCTTGATATGATTATATACACTCATTAGGCACAACAAGAATATTTAGCAGGTAAATAATGGCGACTCAGATCAACTACAGACCTTGAGTGGACGTGTTGGTAGTTGGTCGAGATGTTTAGCCGAGACTAAAGGGTGAGGGGGAGGGGGTGTCCGTACGTGCTATTGTTTCTTCCTGCTCGTCCTCCTCTTGTACTGTAGTGTAAAGCGGATGTTTTTCTTCCTTAATATACAGGGTATTTTTTTCCTACCATATAAAGACCATAAAATTATTTATATAACTAGAAAGTCTTTTTTCGCTATAGATGACCAGATCTCTCTCTCTGACACACACATACACACATACAGGGTGAGTCAGAGGTAGGTGAGGGAGGAGGAAGTGTTGCCCTCCCCTGGTGAATCTCTGTACTTGAACTTCTCCACCCACCAAGGTCACTTCTTCCTCACCTTCCCTTTCTTCCCTTATTCTTCTCTTGCTTCTTCACCTCACACCAGTTTATTATGCCCCTCATTCTTTCCCGGGGTACATCCTTGTCTTCCGTTTGTTTGTATGTCTGTTCGATACGCCCTGTTTCCGTTTAATATCTTCAGAAAACCTCCACCTGATGCGCACTATCCCTGACATCGGACCCCTCCTTCACCCTCTGGAAGAAGCCATTAAAGTCGATTTTATCCCAACACTATTGAAAACCCCTTATTTAACCCCAGCAGAAAGGTCACTCCTTGCACTATTACCGAGACTAGGAGGAATGGGATTGACTAACCCGGTGGAGCATCAGAACTCTGTCAAGTTCATGGCAGCTCTTACTGAGCACATAATAGATCACAATGCAGCAAGTCAGGTGGATACTAACGAATTAAACAAGATTCGACGGTCCATTATGAAGAGCGGCAGCACACTCAAAGTGATAAACTGTAACAACTGTTGCTGCAAGTGCCAGAGAACGTGAAGAAAAAATAGCTATAGCGCAGGAGGTGGGTGCCTCGAACTGGTTTACAGCGTTACCGATAAGGGCAAAGGGGTTCATCCTTAATAAACAAGAATTTACAGATGCCATTGCTCCAAGGTACGGTTGGCCAGTAGAAGGTTGGCCCTCCCAATGCATGTGTGGCTCACCTTATGACATCGGCCACGCCATGGTGTGCAAGAAAGGGGGCTTCGTATGCATGAGGCATGACGAAGTAAAGGATCTCACAGCAAATTTACTAAAGGAAATCTGCCACAACGTCACAGTGGAACCGACCCTCCTTCCATTGGACGGTTAGAACCTCGTCACAGCACTTCAAACACATCCAACGAAGCCCATGTGGATGTCAGTGCTCGAGGATTCTGGACACGGGGACAGTGAGACTTCTTTGACATAAGGATTTTCGATCCCATGGCCACATGTCACCGTAACCTAGCTCTGGATGCTGCACACAGGAGGAACGAAAATGGCAAGATCAGGGCATATGGGGAGAGATTTCAGAATGTTGATCAGGGCAGCTTCACTCCTCTGGTGTTCACAACCTCTGGTGGGATGGGACAAAATGCAAGATGTTTCTACGGAGCAGCAGCCCAGAAGTTACTTTACAGCCTGGTTGAGATATTGACTGTCCTTCTCTCTGCTTAGGTCTGCATTGCTTTGCATCAGGGGAACGAGAGCATCGGCCTCAAAGCCGACAACAGTCGAAGATTTTGACTGAGGCAACAGTCACTGAATGCCGCATAGATTTGTGGCTCAACTAGGGGAACGAGAGCATCGGCCCCAAAGCCGACAACAGTCGAAGATTTTGACTGAGGCAACAGTCACTGAATGCCGCATAGATTTGCGGCTCAACTAACTCAACAGGGCTAGGGTAGCTACTTCTGTATTAGGATATTTAATTTTAAGGTGTGGATATTGGGGGAGGCTGGAGGCCACTTTAAAAAAAAAAGTAGTAGTAGTAGGTGTGTGTGTGTGTTGGTTAACTGCTCACTAGAGTAGCCTATGTTGGGTGTTTTATACTAATATACATTATTTGTTCGCCTACAGGTTGTCAGTCTGCGGGATTTCTTCTTCGACGACGACATCTTCATCGCCTACGGTCCTGAGCGACTCTCTCACGACGACTTCGATCTTGACTCTGAAGGTGTGTTGTCCCGCTCACCTTCTAACATTGTCCCTGCACACGTCTGTACACTTGTCTTTACACACCCAGGTTACTTAGAACATCAAAGTAAACTTCTTTCTTTTAACTGCCACACTGCCCTGCTTAGATATAGGACAGGTGTGTACAAGGTCCACTACGCTATATAGGTGACAGTCACATCAGAGGCAGGTGTATGTACACTACACTACTTCATATACACAGTTAGTTACAGTTTATCTCCCCCAGATGGACTGAATCCCTCGACAAAAACATTAAGCGGTTTTAAATAAAGTTCAGTGTGTGTGTGTGTAATAATAATAATAATAATAATAATAATAATAATAATAATAATAATAATAATTAAAGGTTTATTGAAAGAACATGACAGCCGGAAGGCTGAAAACATACAGTTACATAATTGGAGAATGGATCAATTGACTGACAAATAATATACAAGTAACATAAGTTATACAAATATGATATATAATAACTAGGTGGGGAGAAGGTTATACTACTGGGCATTTCAGCATAGTGACAGTGCAAAAAGGTTGGCTGGGAGTGAACAAACTGGTTGATGACGAGTTGTTGATAATTAATAATTTTTGCAACCGTTGGGACTTTGCTGTTCTTATAGCGATGATCAGTACGCGCTCGTATGTGTGTGTGTGTGTGTGTGTGTGTGTGTGTGTGTGTGTGTGTGTGTGTGTGTGTGTGTGTATATATGTAATAATAATTAACGGTTTATTGAAAAAAAATCTGCAGCCCGAAGGCTGAAAATATACATTGGACATAAATGACTTATTACATACATTGGTGGTTTAACAAGAGCCTTCATTAGAGAAAAGTAAAGGAACATACAGTGAACATACAGATTATTGTAGGTGTTAAACAGCAAACTCGTAGTGTAGTAACTCCCTCCCAGATGGTGTTAGGAGGAACTCACGTGGTGTAGTAGTTCCCTCAGATGGTGTTATGAGGGACCTGGCGTGGTGTAGTAATTCCCTCGCAGATGGTGTTATGAGGGGCCTCACGTGGTGTAGTAATTCCCTCACAGATGGTGTTATGAGGGACCTCACGTGGTGTAGTAATTACCTCACAGATGGTGTTATGAGGGGCCTCACGTGGTGTAGTAACTCCCTCACAGATGGTGTTATGAGGGGCATCACGTGGTGTAGTAATTCCCTCACAGATGGTGTTATGAGGGGCCTGACGTGGTGTAGTAATTCCCTCACAGATGGTGTTATGAGGGACCTCACGTGGTGTAGTAATTACCTCACAGATGGTGTTATGAGGGGCCTCACGTGGTGTAGTAACTCCCTCACAGATGGTGTTATTATGAGGGGCATCATGTGGTGTAGTAATTCCCTCACAAATGGTGTGTTGACGGACTTGACGTGGTGTAGTAATTCCCTCACATATGGTGTTATGAGGGACATGTGGTGTAGTAATTCCCTCACAGATGGTGTTATATGAGTGAGGTTTGGTCTTAGGCCTTCCTATCGTAGACGGATTAACACATCGCTGGTTGTTGTTGGGTCGGGCCGTCATCACTGGGTACCTGGGACCTCACTGTGTGAAGGTTATCTTGGGTACGACTGTTACTGTTGAGTTGTTCTCACTGACTTAAGCACTGTTCGCCACTGTTCACCACTGGCTCCGTTCCTTTCCTAAATGAGATTGTAACTTCTGGCGAGAACTTGTTGATATTCCGGTGGGGAGGAGGGTTCAAGGGAGGGGGTTGGTATGGGCCAACTTAACAGTTGACCTGGCTGCTCCGAGAGGAGTGCCAGGTACGTCTTGACCCTTCGGTGGTCAAGGATGTAGTGTGTGTGTGTGTGTGTGTGTGTGTGTGTGTGTGTGCGCATGCGCGCGCGCGCAATTACTCCACATCGTAATGCTTGGAGGAGCACCACACAAGGTGTCAATACTTTCGAGTAAGCCCGACTGCATAACGAGGCAGACAAGCGCCAACACCGGAAAGACTCTGCCGTCGTCCTTCCTGCACTAGATGTAGTCTCTCACATGTGCAACATCTGTGATCAACTCTGTTGGTCCCGTATTGGCCTCTTTAGTGACCTCAACTCACCAACCTAGGTGACATCCTTAATTACTCATTGTATCATAGCTGGATGATCGTCATACTCGATTCCGAGTGACAGCAAAATAGTAAGTAGTAGTAGTAATGTCTGTCTGCCGCTCAGTCTGTCTGTCTGTCTGTCTGTCTGTCACGCACAAATTTTTGTGTGACTACTGATCTAATAATCCAGATCATGTCAATTTTTAATGACCAACACTGGTCAGTCGCGTTGCACTCGAACGTTACAATTCGGTCAAACCTGTTGAATACAATTCATTCTTAGTATTTCAGTAATAAATCATACGTAGGTAATCATACATAAATGTCTAATTGCTTTATATCCTTGATGTCACAACGATAAATATTACAATGGGCACAGTTTACCAAAGTAAACTTAAGTACAGGTTGAACTTACGTGTTGAAGGTCTCAATTGAATAGGTTAAGTGTTCACCCCATGATGGTAAGAGCTGGAGTGTTGGAGCTGCTCGTATCATGCCCTACCTTGGCTTACACATGTTGCAGTGTCAGACATTTTATATACAAATAAGTCATTCCCTACTGCTACACAACACCATCAGTACTTCACTACTAAATACTCTACAAACGGGCAGGCACGCCCACTAAAGATGTCTTGACTTACAACTTAACATGATGTTTGTTTATGGGTTATCCTTCTAGAGTTACAGGGTTATCCTAATCATTACTGTTTGCGGTAACAAACACATTATGTATAAAACCGGAGGTAAAGTGACTTTCGGTCCCTCCCCCTCCCCCTTCTATCTCCTCCCCTCCTTCCTTTCACCCCTTCCCTCACCAACTCCCTCACTCCCCTCACCTCTCCCTCATCCCTCTCCCACACCCCTCCTCCCCACACACCCCTCCTCCCACACCCCTCCTCCCCACCCCCTCCTCCCCACACCCCTCTCCCACACCCCTCCTCCCCCATACCCCTCCTCCCACATACCCCTCCCGTCTCCTCCCCTCACACCCTCCTCCTCCACACCCTCCTCCCCCCACACCCCTCCTCCCTCCACACCCCTCTCCCTCCACCCCTCCTCCCACCCCTCCTCCCCACCCCTCCTCCCACCCCTCCTCCCACACCCCTCCTCCCCTAACACCTCCCCGTCACACCTCTCCTCATCCCCCTCTCCTCACCCCCCTCCTCCCCACACCCCTCCCTCCCCCACCCCTCCTCCCCCACCTCCTCCCCTCCCACCCCTCCTCCCCTCCCACACCCCTCCTCCCTCCCCACCCCTCCTCCCCTCCCACATCCCTCCCTTTCCTAACACCCTCCTTCCCTAACACCCCTCCCATCCCCCTCCCCCACACCCCTCCTCCCTCCCCACACCCCTCCTCCCCCCACACCCTTCTTCCCCCCACACCCCTCCTCCCCCACACCCCTCCTCCCCCCACACCCCTCCTCCCCCACACCCCTCTTCCCCCCACACCCCTCTTCCCCACCCTCTTCCCCCCTCCTCCCCACACCCCTCCTCCCCACACCCTTCCTCCTTCACCCCCTCCCCGTCCACCTCTCCCCGTCTACCCCTCCTCCCCACACCCCCCTCCCCACACCCCTCCTCCCACACACCCCTCCTCCCCACCCCCTCCTCCCCCACCTCCTCCCCACACCCCTCCTCCACACACCCCTCCTCCCACACACCCCTCCTCCCCCACCCCTCCTCCCTCCTCCCCTACACCCCTCCTCCCCCATCCTCCCACCTCTTTCCTAACACCCTCCCCGTCACCCCTCCTCCCCACACCCCTCCTCCCCACACCCCTCCCCGTCACCCCTCCTCCCCCACACCTCTGCCCCCACACCCCTCCTCCTCCACCCCTCCCGTCACACCTCCTCCATCACCCTCCTCCATCCACCCCTCCTCCCCCACACCCCTCCTCCCCCCACTCCTCCTCCCTCCACCCCTCCTCCTACCCACACCCTCCTTCAACACCCCTTCCCATCCACACCTCTCCCCCCCATCACCCCTCCTCCCCTCACCTCTCCTCCCTCCCACACCCTCCTCCCCCCACACCTTCCTCCCATCACCCCTTCCTCCCCGTCACACCTCTTCTCCCCTCCACCCCTCCTTCCCAACACCCTCCTCCCTCCACACCCCTCCCTCCCCACACCTCCTTCCTTAAACCCTCCCGTCACCCCTCTCCCCACACCCCTCCTCTCCCACCCCTCCTCCCCCACCCTCCTTCATGCTACCCTCCGTCCACCTCCTCCCCCACTCCTCCTCCACCCACCGCTCCTAACACCTTCCGTCACTCTCACCCTCTCCCTCCACCCCTCCTCCCCCACACCTCCTCCCCACCCCTCCTCCCCACCCCTCATCCTCCCCTCACCCCACCTCCCTCACACCTCCTCCCTCACACCCCTCCTTCCCAACACCCCTCTTTCCTCCCTCATACCTCTTTCCTCCCTCACACCTCTCTCTCCTCCCTCACACACCTCTCCTCCTCACACACCTCTCCTCCCTCACACACACCCTCTCCTCCTCCCTCACACACCTCTCTCCTCCCTCCACCTTTTTCCTCCTCACACCCCTCTCCCTCACCCCACCTCCCTCACCCTCCCTCACCCCACCTCCTCACACCCCTCTCCCTCACCCCTCCTTCCCAACACCCTCTTTCCTCCTCACACCCTCTTTCCTCCCTCACCCCTCTTTCCTCCCTCCACCCTCTTTCCTCCCTCACACCCCCTCTCTCCTCCCTCACACACCTCTCTCCCTCCCTCACGCCCTCTCCTCCCTCCACCCCTCTTTCCTCCTCCCACCTCTCTCTCCTCCCTCACACCTCTCTCCTCCCTCACACCCTCTTTCCTCCCTCCACTCTCTTTCCTCCCTCACCCCTCTTTCCTCCCTCACACTCTCTCCACCCTCCACACCTCTCCTCCCCTCACCCCTCTTTCCTCCCTCCACA